CTTAGGTGGGGGTTACTCCTTTAAGAATTTCTTTCTGCTTTTTGAGTCAAGGACATCGGTTGGCCCGCTAGATCCAGAAAACCAATATAATAGTAACCGAGTTGAAGTTCTTACAAGGGAGGACCCTTCAATTTCTTTAATATTATTATATAAAAGGGTCAGGTTAAGATTGAAAAAATAAATGAATAAATAAAAGGAGAGAATTTGGTTATAGATGTGTAAGCTTTGTATGAATTATTAGTTAATTATTTTTAAATTAGATAATTTATGATAAATATATACCTAGTATCAAATCATTAAATTTTAAAAATCAACAGTTAATATTCATGTAAAGTTAGTACAAGTAAATGAATTATTATTTTTTGGTTTCTTTTATAATCAATAAGTCGATTATTATTCTTTTTTTTTTTATTGGCAATGAATTGTTATTCATATAAAAATCATACATACATATATAGCGATGAACTTGAATATACCCCTAAATGGAAACGAGTGAATTATTTTAATATATTTTTTCTATATGCTCCAAAACTTTATTCCACATTCCACAAGAATGCATTTGTTATTCATCACCTATTCGTTGAATACAGAAAAGAAAAAAAAAATGGTCCATGTCTTGTGATTACCATTCTATATGCCCGGTAGTTCTTGGATGTTGTGTGAGTTGTCAAAGAAAATGCTAGAATATCATCGTTCTATAATAGTACAATTATATCTAACCTACCACAATCGGTTAGTCAAATTTTACTTGGACTCATTTAAAATAAAATACATTAATCTTATGAATGATTTAAATAATTTAACAATAAATTTTTTTATTAAAAATAAAAAATTTTAAGTTTAAATCATATAATATACAAATAAAATGAGTTAAATATGAAAAAAAATTATTTTTTATTGTGTAATTTAATATCAAATAAAAAATACATTACTCTCATTTTTAAACGTGTTAAATTGCTATCACCTTGATATACTGTTAAACGCAACAAATGGAAATTCTGCGATTTTACATCCGGGTAATATTGCCCGTGTACTTCATGAAATGAATTGTAATCGTAATTTGTGTGGAGGAATGGAGCC